GAATTCGACAGATATTCTTACGCAAACGCCTCAATAAGGCCATATGGAACTTCTTATTGACCTTCTGTCCCTCCTGAACAAATTCATGTTGCACCACTTGAAATTGCTAATTTGCAGCAATCAAGCAATGTGTTTCAGTTTTGATTACTTTGGAGGATATCGATTAATAATGCCCAATTTCATCGAACTGAACAAAATGTGCGCTTTCCATTACAGTTATCCCCCAAATACTCGATTGGTATCAAATGGTCAGTATTAGGTTAACTAAGCCCACAAAAACTTGTAATTGCCTTTTAATTTTGAAGCATGAGAAAACGCACACACATGCATACATATGCTGCATTTCAATTACATACGCTGAAGAGCTGCTGGACAGCTRTAATCCATAGGTTAGTTGTCAGTGGCGGTTGGAATCTTTAAAAGGCCGAAAAGCGCTTCACTTTTCGGGCCCATTCAGCAAAACTCATCTTGAAAGGCTTTTGAGCTGATACTCAGATGAAGAGTTAATTGCTAAGTACCAACTAAGATGGCCCACGAAACTTAGATACTAATTTGATGCTGAAAAGGTACCAAATCTGTTGAAAGCGGAGATCAGGAGAAGAACTATCTCAAATGAAGACATCATAAACGGTACTTAGCATTCGTACATATCGTCGACAGAATGGTAGTCACATACCTGGTGCATGAAGCCACAGCTCTGACTTCTTTGTTTATACTACTTATATACTTCAGTGTGAATGTGYGGAATCGGAGTCAATCGGAGTGGAAAAAAGCACTTAATTTTCCRCACAATTGCGCTGCATTTACGGCAATCAACAAGTTCAAAGCACTAAAATGCAATATGAGGAAAATTTGTTGTGAAAAAATATCCCCACCAGTTAAGTGGTGTAATAAAAATGATGGCCACAGCTGCGGCAAGGGATGACATGCATGTTGCATGTTGCATGTCATTGGAAAAAGTTAGTTTTTGAAGTATTAACAATTTATATGTGGAAAAAACACACGGGCGGTAGAGTATAAATAATGAATTATGAATAGTTTTATATGAGCTTTGCTTTCGGCGACTAAGCGAGGGCAGTCAGATGTTAGCAAAAGTACAAGCGTGTGTCGGTGTAACTGCGCTGTGGGGGGTCGCTCGAAAGTGTTAAAGTCAATGTAACATAAAATTTTATAGTATTTTTTYACAACTCACGGAAGTTACTTTTCAACACAGCGAAGTGGTGATGAGTTAAAGCAATTAAAGTAGAAAATCGAATTATGTGCTATTTGTTTGCATAAATTCGTAATTCCTTTCGATATGTGTATGTTACTACTGTGGACAAAATAGTAAGACTTTTTAATTTAAATTTTGTGGATTGTCCATTCGTTAACTATTTTTTTCTAGCTTGGGGGGGACAGAGACAATTTTACATTCATATAATTTCACACATAAAATGCATTATAAATTATTCTCCAAAGAAGTTCCTTTAAATTTCTGGTGCTGAAACGTTCCGAATGTTAAAAAAGGCCATGGGTGATGAGTCAATTAGGATCAATAATGCGTTGACGACGAACCACGTTCAGGGCGACCAACAACATTTTCTGATGATCAACACATCAATAAAAGAAAGGAATTAGTGCTTGATAATCAACGATTAACAGGCAGAGATCTTACTGGCAACGTTGGAAATCACAAGAATCAGTGAAAATCATTTTGAGAGATCAGTTGAATATAAAAAAAGTGAAAGCACTATTGGTTAACAAACGATCAATCTGCCGAATATCGTGGCAAAGCCAAAAAAATACGTCAACGCAAGTCCAAAATCGATGTTATATTGACAGTTTTTATCAATTATCGAGGTGTGGKGCACTCCAAGTGTTATGCGTCGTTTCCCTACCAGGTTCAACTACCAATATATCATGAAGCTTATGTATCTTGGATAAARGTGAGCAGAAGATGAAAAAGCACGTGAAAAAGGTCAAAAATCAAGGTTATGTTGACAGTATTCTTCTTATCGACTTAGAATCAMACACAATCAATCGTCTTAGACAGTCTCTGTTTGTCTGACTTTTTAGTGAATACAACCCTTAAGCAATTTAAAATTCTGGTAAATTTGAGACTTTTGGAGAACCTTAACTAAAAAGTTTTTAATTGGCTCTCTTTTCCTGAGGGGTTTCTTCGTTGCATTACTGGATTCGCGCTTGAGATTCCGAAAAATCTAGTGAAAATAAGTCCTTCCTCATCTTCATCACAGGTGAAGCTACAGAATAGGATAAAATTTTGTCATGAAATGCACCCATCAGGTCACGTGATTTTACTTCATAGGATTACTTTCTTAGATTGCTATAGAAYTGTTATAACTGAATAGTTAAAAAACCAATACAAGGCTTTTCAGTAGCGAGATGATACTTGCTGCACTGAAAAAATAGAGCCAGTGAACCAATTTAAGATACAGTTACGGTAGACACATGACCGGATTTTTTTTAAGACACTAAGTACTATAAAATGTTGTATTCAACTCTAAATAATATTGAATTTATTATTTCTTATACGAAAAATTTTGACAATTTGGTATAAATTAGTTTTTTAAACTCTCCAAAATTTTAAAATATAAAAGTGAATTTTTTCCAGTTCTTAATTTAACGTATAAATATTAATATTCTCCACATGACTCGGAAGCGTACTCGTTTGAAAACCACATTCGTCTGGACCACAGAATTCCATTTGTATTTTTACGATTATATTAAATGTCTGTATGTGCGGGTGTACTCGAGGCAAAATAGAAATTGTCGCACGAAAAAATTCCAATGGATGCAGCGTAGCGGGTATTATGTAAAATTATTTACAGAAGCCGCATGCCTTAATGGCATTAGAATTTCGCCACGAGCACAAATTTATTCAAAATTCCACCCGAAACTGCATACATATTCGCTATATTATATAAAGCACATTCGGAATATATTCAAAAATGAATACTTCTGCCTACCCACGGGAATATTTTCAGCATTTGATGAACATATAAAAATACATTTGCTTTGCCGCTGACAAAAGTTGAATTATATACAGAAGTTTATATAAATAGTAGCGTCCTGCGGCGAGATATTGGATCTGTTGCAAATTTACGTCAATATAAACGGYTTTTGTTTTTATTATATTTGTGGAAGTATTTCACATTCGACGAGTTTATTGTGCTTTCTAGAAAACTTTTGCATTTCAATGCACTCCAATTTTAAGTGAATCGTTTTTGTAGATGCTATTTGTGTTTTAGCTTTAATTATTCATGTGTTAATATTAATTTGGCTACAGTAGAAATCATAAAGGAAACAGTCGTTTTCAACCTTTTTTAGCAAATTTTCACAAAGCGAAATGTATCGGCCTGAACTTGAAGCWTATGTTTGCAATCACATTACTATATGTAGAAGTAAAAGGATTKCAATATTTCATTGAGAAGGCAATGCTAGAGTGTCAATAGTGATAAGAGTCGTTCATTTTTCTTATATCAGTGAATAATCGGTTTCATATGGCGGGAAGTTGCATTTATGGTTCCRGTTAGGTGGCTTATGTTGCCTGAGAGCCCATGAAATCCTCGATACTAATTCGGTTACTGCGTTATTATTTTCGATTAAATAATTCGCATTTAGTTGTAACTTAAGACCATCAGAACATCAACTGAATAAGCCAGAGGCTTAAAATTCTAATTTAAGACCTTCAGAATCTCAACCGAATGACCCAACACAGTCACAAACAAAAAATTTAAATTTACATGAAATTCTTAGCTTCATATCAAACCAGTGGGCAGTCCTTTGGTTCATATAATATTACACACAAAAATTATTTATTAAATAATTTGTTTATTCAACTCAGGCATTTAAATCGATTATGCAAGCCGTAATTATGTATTATGAGGGATTACGGTTAAACCAATTAACTACTGCACTTGTGCTATCCTTTATTAACACAGTTATATTAAAAACACAAAGCATAAATATTTAAAACTGAGTGTGAAAAACACAAAACTGAGAGACGGCATTTATTCAGCAA